CTCTATTTGTTACATGAGTTGAACTATAATTATAATTTGTAAATAGCTAACAATTTATTACAACTAAGACTTCTTATTTTGATCTTTTGCTTTTTTAACAGTAACTAAATTGAAGTAAAGATTTTAAATTTGATGGACAACAATTAGTTGAAATTCTTTACAACTTTTTTTATCTTAAAACAAACAGAGTTGTGTTCAATCGAAGACATATTGGTTTGATGAACACTAAATATGGAAGAATATAAAAACTTTTCTTTCATGCTTCTGTTTTGTTTTTTTTATTTTTATTTTTATTTTCAAAATTTAGTGTTTTGATATTAATTCTAGATTTGATCATTTTATTAGATGATAGAAGCCTTTTTTGTTTTTTATTTTTTTATTTAAATATATAATATTCTTTTAATAAATGACTCTGTGACAATATGACTCTAAATATGATCATATTATATATTTGTATAATATATAATATGATCTCAAACTAAATAATTATATTTTTTGGTATAAAATTGAATAAACTGAAAACCGATGGTATATAAACTAAATCAAACTGAAGTACATATAGATTTAGAATAGTAGTTATATTTTAATGATCGAAATACCAAAAAATCGAGCCGAACCGAAATCCGATATCCGAATTGAACACCTCTAATCCGAATTAAACCGAACTATTGTTTCATTTTTAAAAACATAATAAAAATAATAGCTTCATCCCGCGCAAGGCACGGGTCTTATCCTAGTTTGTATTATATACCAAATTCTGTTGTATCCACCTAATCACAATAGAATTTATACACGTGTTTACGAATACAGGATAAAAAATGAACCAATCCAGCTTGGGTGTAATCTACCGTTGAAGTTGAAAGTTTTAAATACGTATACAGTAAAACCTCTATAAATTAATAAAGTTGGGACTTTGAAATTTTATTAATTTATAGAGATATTAATTTACGAAAGTTTCCTTTTTTACATTTTTATTATTTTTTCCATTATTATTTATAAAATAAAAAAATATATTTGATTCCAGCATATGTACATTATTTAAATTTTAGAAATTTGACTTTTAAATTGTTTTATTATCTTATTTGGTGTATATTTTTATGTTTCATAGAATTGTTAAAGTATTTTTATAGTAAATATAAAACCCCTAAATAAATATTATCAAAATATATTGAATTTTTTTTAAAATATATATATATTTTTATAGTAAATATAAAACCAACAATATAATGTTAGATTGTACTTATATAAAATTATATATAGCTAGATTATTAATTTATGATTTTAGTGGGACTATCTATTTACATGGCAGTTTTAAAAATATTATTATCTTATTATTTTATCGATTTGTGTCATATTTTACACCGGCCCAAGTTGGGACCGATGAAATTTATTAATTTATAGAGATTATTAATTTATCGAGTATTAATTTATAGAGGTTCTACTGTATATTAATTGGATAAAATATTCAAAATATTCAATCAGTTGGTAAATGAAGATAAGAAGTGTTAGATGCACGTATACAGTTGTGGAAGAATTAAAACAACAACAACGACAAAATAGTAGGGATGATTGGTTGGGATGTATCAAATGATTTTAACTTTAATCTATATATACAATCATATAAATTACTAATCATCTTATAAATAATTTTTAAAACTAAAACCAAAAAAATAAAAAAATGGCTATATAAGTCTTATATCTAAAGCAAAAATTATTGTATAATATTGTTGTAGAAATATATTTTTCTCATTTATTTTTACATTTACATTAGAAATATCTACATAAAAAATTTATAAATTAAATTTCACAATAAAATTTCTACAATTACAATCAAACCAGCCACCTCCACTCAGTCGTTGATTTTTTTAGTAGGCCTCATTCGTTGAATATTTTTTTACTATAAATTGTTATCATTCTTGTTTATATATTTGGGATAACTGTCCATTAACGCTCAATTACCCAAATGGAATTAGGAACCAGAGGTGAAATCATGAAACTTGCTCGAATGAATGCAGTATTTAAAAGAAAAGAATATAGAGAATCAAATTTGAAAACTGTGGGTGCACAATATGATTTTTACCAATTTAGCTAACAAGTTCTACTGGTATTAGACTTAAGTTGTGGACTATTATTTTGCACCCATTGTTGACAACTTGCCTTTACTCATGTTAGAAACTACAATTAAACCTATAAAACAGTGGGACGAACAAAATGTTTTGGATCTAGTCCACTTTTTTTTGTAACATTGATTATATTAATAAAGAGACCCGAAGTTAAGAGGTTACAACTGGAATAATGCTCAACGATAAAACAACTACAACTAAAATACTCGATGATATGATGAACAAAAAAGGGACATGGACCAAACGGCCGGACAAAAAAGCGCGTCTTCTTAACGCGCCCCCAAAGATTTTCTCTCAACCCTAATTTCCTTGAGCTCAAACCTTTGGTTTCACCTAGCCTCTCCGGCGCCGATTAGCGTCGTGAGAGGGCTCACAAGCCTCCCGACGAATCCATCTTCCCTGCCTCAACCCTTTGCTGCTCTCCCTCTGTCTTTCCTCCTTGCACGGTGTCTCTGGATTCGTTGAATCGTCGGGAATCAAAGGCGTCTTTGATTTCTTTCCGGAGCTCTGGCGAGGTGAGACGAGTTTGGGTTATCTTAGGGACCTCGGGTCTGCTGCTAGTCGCCGATTGCGCTCGGATCTGTGTCAGATCTGGGATCCGAGACCCGCCAGAACTACTGACGCTTCGCTGCCGTCGTTCTTGCCTCGTTGTCTCGCTCCAGTCGGTTTCTCCTATCGGCCTGCTCCAAGGTTTGTTGTAGAGCTTCTCCTCTCTCTCTAGAGTGAAAGGTGGTTTCGAGGTGAGCCACCGAGGACCTCTGTATTTAGTTCAACAGACAACAACCATGGCGGTCTCACAGTAAGCATGTGCCTTCTCCCTCTTGCTCCTGATGCTGTTCGCTTGGGTTTTGAGGACGACCCTCTGTTACGGCGTCGCTTGCGTTAAGGTGGAGCTTTCTTGCTTCCTAGTTGAGTCGTCTGCTTTAAGGAGTTTCAAAGCTCCTTCTGCACTTCATTTCCCGTGTTCCTTTGCTCCGACATTTAGCTTGTAAAGTTTTGATTCTATACTGCACCTTTTGTGTCGCGTGGCCGGATGGAGCGTGTTTAGACCGCCTGCGCTTGACCGTAACATGTTCTTCTTTGTTTTCTGCGGTGTTGAGTCGGAGCTGATCTTTGCTTCCTGTCGAGATAGCTTTGCGGTTTTGGTTCTATGGGCGTCTTCCTCCAGTGGTGTTCCGGGGTGAGAGCCAGCCACCTCCGTTGAAGCTGCTTGGAGCCACTTCGGTGAGTGTTCGACTGAACCTCCCTACTAGCTATTCTCATGCTTATGAAGGTTTCTGAATGAGCTTGAAGCGCTTAGGTCTGGGAGCTATATATTGTTGTTTGTTGTTCTAGTTGATTTCTTAACTTCAAGCTTTCCATTGTCTGGAAACTTGAATTTAAGTTCATAGGTTCTTAGGAGTTTTTTTAAACTTTTTGCAGCTTCTAAGTAATCAAATGGCTGTCAAAGCAGACTATGGCTGCAAGTCATCTTGTAACCAAAACTTTCATTAGAAATAATGACATTTACAATTTAGCAAAAAAAAAAAAACAAAAAAGGGACATTAATCTAAAATGTGACAAAAGACTTAAAAAAAATCTGTGATTGCAAAGTTAATCTATATAGATCTCTCTCTGTCAATTTACATTTCTAACCTCAATGAATCTAATTAATTAAAATAAAATTAAAAGGAAAAAAAGTTGTGATGGTTGTCTTCTTCCTCAGTCTTGACGGCAACACACGCAGCGACTCCGATCTCAACTTCTATGGAAAAACGCGGCGGCTCCGACATGAAATCTATTCCACAGCGTCTATAGTAGATGAAGCTCGTCGTATTGAGACACCACGAGCTAGTTTCAGACCATTTGTCTTTTCCAAATTATGGCCGAGCTCGTGATCCGATTGTGACAGCCGCAGCACCTCCGAGCTCGTGCTCCGTCGCCGTTCTTAACTCCTCCAGTCACGGCAGCTTCCTATTCCCGATTGACTCATCTCCGACCCAACTCCTCAATATTTAGCAAGTCCCTCGTATTTTGTACCATTAGTCCTTTAGCGTTAGGTTGTTCTTAATTTGGCCCTTAAACTCTTAAATGTACAAACACATCTTCTTGTATTAATTTCAAACTTTTAGATTTTCACCCCAACCCTCCATAGTATATATGTATCTGCATAAATATATAAACATCTAAATTCATTCTATAATGATTTATAAAGAAATACTAAAGTTTATTGAATGGAGATAAATTTCTATAAACAAGTGATATTACTCGGTATAACTAATATAACTTTTCAGTATATATCAAATTGATACTATCGATAAAACTTGTTACAACTTTATGATCATTTCAAAAATTAACAAAATCAATTGTGTATTTCATAAAAACTGATATCTTACACTCTTCTAAGGTTTGTGTATTTGGTGGGTCACATTATTTTGAAATAACTTACATCAGAGATATATTAACAAAAGTGATGATTTCATTTTGTGTGATACCATCAAGTGATATTGGTATAACTAGTGCAACTATTTAATTTCTGAAATTTATATCTCATTAAGTATTCATATGAAAAAAACAATTAATTTGCCAAATTGGTAAGTGTTAGAATGTCCCTTATTATTTTTAAGGATTTATTTTGTTTATTCTCTTTAGAAAATTTTACTTTATCACATAAACTTACATGATCTACCTTATACTTTTAAGATTTATTAACTTGTTTGCCCACATAACTTTTTGAAAACATATATAAAATGTATTTTTACAAAAGTAATGATTCTGTTTTAACTGGGCAAAGATATGTAAACATAAATAAGTGGTACAACTGCAATAACTATATTTATTATATGGTACAACTAATATATTTTTATTTTACTGTCTAAGTACAACTATGCACAAACTTGTATAACTCAAAAACTAGTACAACTATATGACCGGTACAACTAGACAACTAGTACAACTATTTGTTATTTTATTCAGTATTTTTAAACTAGTATCACATTTTAAAATAAATAAACAAACTCTTAATTGGTCAATGGAATAGGGGTGGGCGTTCGGGTTCGGATCGGTTATTTTAGGTTTTCAGGTGTTTCGGTATTGAGGTTTAGGACCCGTTCGGATATTTTTACATATCGGTATTGGGGATTCTATATGAAATAAACAATCAAATGGTCAAACTGCTAAGTGTTTAGATAGGTTTCTTATTATTTTCATGATTTTTTTAGAACTTTTGCACTATCCCATAAGTTTACATGATTTACCTTATATATTTTATGTTTGTTAACTTGTTTGTCCACACAATTTTTGGAAAACATACATGAAATATATTTTTACAAAATTGATGATTGCTTTGTAACCGGGCAAATGCATTTAAACATAAATAAGTGGTACAACTAACATAATTGTATATATTACGTGGTACAACTAATATTTCTCGATTTCACTGCTAAAATACAACTATGCATATACTGGTATAACTCAAAAACTAGTACAACTATGTACACACGGTACAACTAGAAAACTAGTACAACTATTTGTTATTTTTCCAGATCTTATACTGTAACATTTTCTGGCTCGGTAGTTGTCTTCTTCAACTTCAGAAACAAAAACAAGAAAATGATATTTTTAGGTAAAATTATAACTGGTATAATTAGTACAAATGGTAAAACAAAAATTAAATATAATCATATAATTGTTAGGTTGTAGGAATTATATATGTTATAATTGTTCTAGTTATACATGGATTTTCATGCATGCAACCAGGAAAGATTAGACTAATGCATCTCATTGCTTCAATATCATATTTTTCTAGTATCATTCATATGCTAAAAATAAAAACCAAATATCATCATATAAGTTGCAAGTTGTACTAGTTCTTCGAGTTATATTTATATTAGTAATATTGGTTAAACTCAATTTAATTACAAGTTATACTTGTTCTAGTTGTACTAGTTGTATTAGTCGGAGTTGTACTAGTTGTGCTAGTAATACTTTCATTCTTATTTTTTATGAATCTCGTATGTAGATCATGAAATTTAATTACAAGTTACTTGTTCTAGTTATACTTTTGAGGTTTGTTAACTTGTTTGTCCACATAATTTTTGGAAAACATACATAAAATGTATTTTTACAAAATTGATGAAATTTAATTTAAATGCTTAAAAAATAGTTCAACAAATACAACTATTAAAACTAATAACTTTCACATTAAATTTAATAACAAGTACAATTGTTACGACATGTTATAGTTTATATATAGTTTTATATTTGAAGGAGAAGTTAAGCACAATATTATTTAAAAAAAAAAACTAATCACAACATATTATAAATATTATAAGTTTAACCCAACAACGAATAATAGTTGTGGTGACTAAGATTTAGAGACATTTATTCATAGATTTGGTGGCTAGGGTTTCAAAGCCAAATCTTATCTTTCAAGTCGACATTTTGTGGCCGTGAGATTCCTTTTTGGGTGGTTTCGACGAATCAGATGATAGACCTCTGGTCTGTTCTTGGACACACCAACTTCGGTAAAGTTTCGTTCAGATTTGTGAACTATCGTTATCCACCAGAGTGGGAAGCGTTGCTTCTCTTGCCAACTATACAACTAGTGTAATTTACAAAATTTTATAATTGGTTCATATCAGTTAGTACAACTGTACAACTAGTATAATTGTACAACTAGTAGAATTGGTATAACTGTACAACTAGAATAACTGATAAAAATTAATATTAAATATTTGAAATTAAATAAATATGAGCCGGGTTTTGGGTATTTGGTTTTGTATCCGAATTTTGTTGGTTGGGTTAGTAAATAAGTTAAAATTTTTGGGTTTTATGGACATTTTACTCATTTTTCGTATTAAATTTAAATCTAAAAGAAATTCAAATTAAAAAGGGTTCAAAATAGATTTTTCCACACCCATGTGGTCTATTATAGAATTTGATTCACAAAAAAGAAACGATAAATCCTAAGATAAAGATAAAAGTGTTAAGAGGAGAAACTTGCTTAGAGTAAAGAAATCCAAAAATGATTTTCACTTGTATTTCTGCAGCGGAAATTCCAAAAAGCTTATCATAGTCAAAAACAACATTGATATAGCCAAACGATGAGGTTTGGTCGAGGGTGAAATTTCCAGAACAAAATCTAGATTTGGCTAAATAGTTCATTAAACAAGTAACATCAAAAGCAACAAGGAGAAAATTGTTCGGTGAGGCAGTTCGGAGAGAGTTGAGCCAAAAACTCCAGTTCTAGAGAATTCATTTCCCCATGAACAGATATACCAGTTCGAAAGTCCACTTCTCCTAAGTTGTTATCATTTGGAACTTTTTATTTTTTAAACCATCAAAATTACATTACAGAGTAATGATGTAATTAAATCGTTCAAACAAAAATGGAGATTCTAACGTCTTGAAGTTGACATCTGCTGACGCCAGTTCGCAGTAGTTAGGTTCAAAGGTGCCAATGATTTATTTCTATTGATTAAATAAATACAGATCCTTGTCTCCATTTGATTTCCTCCAAGATCACTTATCTTTTAATATACCTTTCCACATTCTTGTCGCTTACCAATTGGCTTCTTCGTGCGTGGGTCTCATCGGAGATAATTTTGTGGCTCTCCTTCGTCGAGAAAATAATAATATAAATATCTTTTAAAATGGATGTTTTGATTTAATATACTATTAAATTTGCGGTTTGATGCTCTGGTTTGGATAATCTGCCTCTTCAAGTCAAATCCGACTACTCTATAATGCCTCTTCTCGCTAAACAGCAACTCCAATTAGTAATCAAAATTTAAACAGTTTAGTACAAAACAATGCCATAAGATGTTACTAAATAATAATAACAAAAACTGATAAGTTAACCAAAACACAGGTAAGTAGACTCAAGATATATAGGAAATAATTTTTACAAATTCCCTTTTAGATATCAATATCCTTACTTAAGTTTATACGAAGTGTTATTGTAACTATAATTATATTTATCAAAAAAACTATAATGATATTTATAAATAGTCTAAGAAAGCTAACTATATTAAATGTTTTTAATCATAAAAAAGTTGTAAATTTTGGTTGAAAAAACAAATTAATTTCTAT